AAAGCAAAAAACAAACGACCAAACAAATCGTGTTTTCTTTCTTCAGGGCAAAGATGTTGTGGTGAGGGTGTCAGAAAGCAAAGCGATAATTAAAAGCTGCCGCGGCTGAAGGAGCCTTGCCGAACCCTGATGAGCGGTGAGAGGCTTGAGCGAACGAAATGGAAGTGATGTTTTGAGGAGTTTGCAAGTGTTTGATTGGTGGAAGGTGCGCCTCCTGCCAAATTAGAGCAGCAGCTGTAATTTCCTGCTGGCTATGAACCCGAAGATCCCCTGCGGCTGAAAATTATGCACTCTCATTTTATAGTCTCCAGTCACTGTTGGCTAGAATGTAAAACTGCCATAGAACTAGACATGAAATTTCCAGCTCTCGGGAAACTTCAGATAGTGCAAAACTAATTACACATTTCCTTAACATCTTAGTCTATCAAAAGGATAGCTAACCTGCCCTGTGTTCCTTACACTGGCTCTCTGCAAGGTCTCAAACGGAATTTGAGATGTTGTTCTTCAGCCTTGAAGTATTCAATGGTCTGAGTCCAGGCTATTGCTGAGAGTTCAAGTAGTGAGACTTTGGTGGACAGTTGAATTTGTCAAGCACAGTGGAGCTGCCCTTCACAGAAGTAAAGCTTGTACGGGAGATTGAACTGTCTAAATCACACCATCTGAAGTCCACCTCCATGGCAAACACAGTGTGCAGACATTTATTCTGATCTTAGGTACCAGAAATCTATAGGACAGCAAAAATTCTGCCCTCAGTGAAAACAAACAAACAAACAAAAAAACCTGTTCCTTTTTCCTTCTTCAACTCCTTGAGACAAGCTTCATATCCAATCCAAAATGGAAAAACGAACAAACAAAAAGTATCCCAATCCAAAACCAGCCTCATGTCCAAGTCTTTGTTAATACTGCAACTGTGAAAAGCAAACTATATGTGAAAAGTACAAAACGTATTGTTTAGTAAGTCTTGGGATGTTCTCGGATGTTGTAAGGATGCAAGCAATGGCACAAGTTGAATAGAATAGATTAGGACAGAATAGAGCATAATAAAAACAAAAACTTCAAAGACTGACTTCACCCAGGGCTATAAACAAAGAATTTTAATTCCTTTGTCTCCTATCCTCCATTCTTGAAATTTAAATAGTGCCATCCTGTTTGTCTGAATTAGAGCTTTACTCCATTCTTGCTGAAGTCAGTGTCAACAGAATCAGCTGTTTTATTCAGTGATTTGCTTTGAAACATTATATGATTTTAACGTCCATTTCATCCCAAAAATTACATTAACACAGTAATCATATGTGACTTACACAGTAGAGCATTAGAGTACTAACAAAAGGCCTGGCTATATTTATTATTCACTTGTCTCTAGGGTTTTGAAACTACTCAGTATGTACTGGCCTTATGAATTGTTTATATCTTTACCATTCAATTCTAGCACAAATAGAACAGGAAATACAGTATATATAGTTCAGAACAAACATGCATAATTTAAGAGGGAAATCAAACTACCGAAGTCCTTTACTAAATTCTCATCCATGTGCAGTATGATGCAGATTGCTCAGTGTACATGGTGCCTGTAAACTTAATCCTGTTTAAGTTAGTTTAGCTGGTCATGACAGATGCTTTTAGTTGACTCACATCTGCTCCAATTTTGCTCATTTCAGCAGAGAAATATTGACTCGTTTGGATTTCAGTCAGATTTTGACACTGATTTATGTGGAGTTTGAATTTCATAGACTGATTATAATCCTTGTTTTAGTGAAGTAGTGATCCTCTTATGAATGAATCTGAAGTCCCTATAAAATTCGATCTATAGCTTTTTTCTCCCTTGATGTCTCAATTTATCTCTTGAAATTACTGACCTATTACTATACTATCCTTCTTAACCATCACAGCCACTGCAACTCTCTGAGGCCTCTGATAGGGCAGGGAATGCCTCTGCTGTTATAGTATTCAAGTTTTCATTACAACTTACACATTTTATTTTATTTTATTTTATTTTATTTTATTTTATTTTATTTTATTTTATTTTATTTTATTTTATTTTATTTTATTTTATTTTATTTTATTTTATTTTATTTTATTTTATTTTATTTTATTTTATTTTATTTTATTTTATTTTATTTTATTTAAATATAGGTATAACAGCAGGATTAAAAGTTTTCTAGAGCAGCTGGTACCTCTTTAATATTTTATTTTGTTAGACATCAGCAACATTTGGTAAGTCTTAAAGCCTCCTTAAAGACTAATGTGTCCAATAAGTGGCCTGTTCAAGGAGAGGTACTCCAGCCATGTATGACGAGTGGGACAGAAGAAGCAGTGCAAAAGAGATATGAATCTGGCATATTCCTGGCATTTTTTTGAGATAAAGCTCTTTCCAAAGTCCCAGGAAAACATTAACTGTTATGTTTTCTGGGGATAGGATGCCAGCACTTTATACAACTAATTCCATTTGATAACACTTATCTAAATAAATCTTTTTAATTTGCATAGCATATCAAATCTTATTACTGTTGAATATGTCCATATATCGGTACCACATCCAGGATTCTGGTTGCAATTAGTGAATAAAAAGGAACAAGTAGGAGTATTTATGTGGGATTCTCGATTGCCTCAGGTGAGTTACAAAGCTGACTACAAAAGTTACAAAGTCTGGGGTCAAGTGACAAACCATCCACAAAATGTCATAGTTATTTATAAACACGTTAGAAGTGGTATATTGTTGCTATGGTAAAAGAGAGTTTTCATTTTACTTTATCAAGGTGGACATGGCAGGTATTGATACTCAACTGAAATGCCTTGCTTTTGTGGGCAGCATTCTAGTGGCAGATGGAAGTTTCCAGATGGATCACCCAGGACCATAACTTCAAAAAGGGAATCTTAAATAATATCTTTTTTTTTTTTTTTTTTTTTTTTTTTT